GGGCTGCTAGGGCTGGGGCCGCCCCGCAAGGGAGCCAATGAGCTCCGGAGCTGCAGCGCCTCACCTGTCTCCGGGCAGACGCGTGTCCTGGAGGCTCCGGTCCGGGGGAGACGAACGCCTCGGGGTAAACGCGACAAGAGGAGCAAGTCCGGGACAGTCTGGCAACTGCGTGGTATTTGTAAAGCCTATCTGCTCTCTCCCTCCCATCTCTCTCTCTCTCTCTCTCTCTCTCTCTCTCTCACTCTCTCATTGAGTTTATTGGTACTTTTTAAGTACACAGTACAGTTACATTCATCATTGGGATCTTGTACCTTTACATGCCAGGTCTTGATTCTCATTTTTTTTTCCCCTTGTCCCTGCCCTCCCAAAACCTATTTCTTCTTAAACTTGGGAGACTTAATAGGGGAAAAAATAAATGGACATCATGTTTCAGGGGACAGAAAATTGTCACGAAGATGTTCACGAAAAGCAGAGTTCTCCCGGGGAAATGGCTGGAGCGCAGTTGCAGAGCAAGTCACTCGGCCTCTCTCCAGCTCAGGCTGCTCCCTGTAAAGTGTGGGTGATGTTTCTTGCGTTTCCCATCTGGGTCTCGGCTCATACTCATCCGAGGGTGACATGGCATGGTTAGCATCGCGTAATGTCCTTCGCTGCCCTCTGTAACTGCTGAAATCTCAGGTTACCGTGTGGGAAAGAGGAAAAACATTGGCGCTCAGCCCTACAGCAAGTGACCCGTCCTTACGCAGAAATCTGTTGCCCCATGATGGTCCCTTGAAAGTGTGGGCAGAGCCAACGAAGCTGACATTGCGAGTTCCTCGGCTGCTTAACCCTGCACAAGGATCCGTAACTCCTGCAGCTCTCAGAGTCGCCTTTCAAGGACAGAAAACAGAAGATGTGGGAGGCTTTCTCCCAGGTCTGTGGTGTTAATGAGGGAGCAAAGGATTACTTGGAGGTTGTGCTGTGCTTCCCTAAACGTGAAACCCCAATGTGTTAAGTGTCAATGTCCCTAAAATAAATGTCCTATTCATCAGGCTCCCCTTACCCACGTCTAATTACAAAGCAATTAGAATAGTGCCTGACGGACATTAATGACAGCTCTCACCAAAACAGTATCAATCGTATCTCTCTCTCTCTCTCTCTCTCTCTCTCTCTCTCTCTCGCTCCTTCTTTATGATTTATGTTAGATTCTCCTTTTAAAACAGAAAACAGGATCTAATAGCACAATATAAGGAGTTTAAAAGTCAAACCTAGGGAAGAAGCCACACCAAGAAGTTTCCGCTAGCGGCAGATAAAGGACTGAGTTACTAGAACATTCTGTCGCTGTGCATAGATGTGGGGCCCCTGACCCTGGGGAGGCTGCTGCTGGGCTCCCACTAGCAGTGCTGTGCCCAGAGTCAGGGTGAGCTCAGTGTAAGGAGGGTCTCCGGTGGAGCAGTAGCCGTGCAAGGAAAGAGCAGCAAATTCAGACCTGGGGTGGGAGTAGGAGTCGGGAAAGGGTGCCAGAAAGGGCCCTAGAAGGTGCCCTCTGTGTCCTTAGCCCCGCCTCAGACGGTCCACTCCCAGATAAGCAGAGGTCTCTGGCCCATTCCCCACTCCTGTCCTAAGGGGAAAGAAAGTTCCCTCAGCTTTATCCCGGGCTTTGAGGCAAAGTCCGCATCACAGGGGGTTTTCCAGGCTCACCGGCCGTTTCATCAGACTTTTCAGCTAGCAACCAAAGCATCAGTTTACAAGCCCTTTTCTGATTGGCTAAAACCTCATCAAAAAGGCCATGCTTTGGACTTCCGCCAGCTGCAGCCCCAGCCCAGCCCTCTCTGAGTCCTCTGCACTGCCGGATTCCTTGCGTCTTCTGCTCAGCGCAACCACCCGTGGGCTGGCCTGAGAGGAAGACGATTTGGGCAGACACTTCGCCCCTCTGTTCCTCACATAAATTGCCCTGCAAGGTTAGGGTAAGGGCGGTGCGAACCTCAAGAGGGTGCTGGGATAAAGAAACTGGCGTTGATGTGAGTGGAGGATGCAGGGCTGTCCTCGGCTCCTTCAGAGCAGAAGACTCTGGGTCCTTCAGAGGACTCCTTTCAGGAAAAGTGAGAAGAAATCACCTCTGGTCAGCATCCCGTGGAGTCTGCTTAGTCGGTGTGGTTAAATGTGAACCTGATGGTCATCTTATCACCAGAAGGGCCATCGGGGACTCTTGTGTTCACCTCAGCCACCAAGAAATACATCTCTTGAAGGATTTTGTGGCCTCGGTAATGCCAGTGGTTCTATGGTACACATGCTAACACTATCACTATTCTCTTTTATAAAAATGTATCAAGCAATTACCTCAGATTTTCTAAATCTTACGAAACATCTTTATGTATTTCTGCTATGTCAACTCTCAGATGAGTTATATTACTTTTCTCATTACACATTGAGAGTAAGCCTTTTGTTTTTATAGAAAGTTTTCTCTTTAAAGTCACATTTTAGAGAAAATAAAGACAAACACCTGAGATAAACCAAGGGAAGAAAGGCGTCAAAAGTAGCAGAGTAACTGAGTTAAAAGTCACTTCAACTTGGGAAGACTCCATTAAGAATTCACCCCTCACGGGACCACCTTCATGAATGAAGATAGAATTTGTAAAAGTCCCTGCAATCTGTAATGAGCTATGTATACCTTAGTGTCTACTGTAATTCTGAATTCATCTTTTATACATATTTTGCAAACCAAAAATTCTTGGTATTTCTCACCTTGGGTCAGTGATGGCCAACTTTTCAGAGACGAAGCACCCAAACTGCATCCCCAAACCCGCTTATTTATTGCAAAGTACTGACACTGCAACTAAATCTAAATACTGAGGTTTTACTTTAGAAAAAAAATCATATATTAACATCTTTTATGCAAAATGAAAAACAAATAACATGCACTCTATAGGTTCACCACCACTGGACTTTAGAAAATGGAGCAACGATGGCCTGGAATCCCTACCTCTCACCTCATCATGGAGGGAGCGCGAGGTGGGAGAGCCTATGAGGTGCGTTTCACCAGGAATCCACCCGATTTTCCCTCTCAAAACTGCCACTTCCATCGCCTGCTTGGCACCGCCATTTCAACTATGGTTTCTGACCTTGGAAGCTGGTCCTCCCGGCCAAGGGCTTCCGGATGTGGACATTGGAATGGGTATGAACTGATGAAAGGAGGAAAGCAAAGAAACCTCTGTGGGCTGCACGGGCTGCAATGGCGGAATCCAGGGTCCTGTTTTATCTTCCTTGGTTTGACTTGGAGGAAGAGAGATCACCTGCTCCTCATTGCAGCTGCTGCCATTTGTGTAAAGGCCCTGGCCTGGACCACATGCCCACGTGCCTGCTTTCCTCCCCAGCACGATCTGGGTCCCTTGGCGTCTGAGCTCCAACACTTGGCTGTGATTTTGCTGCTGGTAGTTCCATCTCCTTTCCCAAAGATGCACAGAACCCAGATGGGTGAATTCTGACACTTAATAATATTTATATAGTTCTGGGCTTCAGAACTGAACACACAATCCATGGTTCTTACCTTCGAGAAGTGCACATCAAAGAGGACACAGACATGGGCAAAAAAGTGAGAAACAAAAGTCTGTAACTGTCATTAAAAGGGTTGTCAGGTATCTCTCATCAAAGACAAAACTAAAGCACACGGAGGAACAATCGGGACATCCAGCGATAGCTGGGCATGAGGCACACACCTTCACTAGAGAGGCTGAATGCAGGATGATAAAACGATGGAGTAACTTAGCCATTTAGTGAGAATCTGTGACAAAATGAAAAATTAAAAAGAAGCTGGAAATGTAGCTCAATGCA